CCCGGTGGCGCAGCCGGGTCCCGCCACTCCCGGCAGCTTTGCGCTGGCAGCTCGCGCAGGCCCCCTACCCACACCCAGTACCTTTCTTCTGATGGCTCCGTCGAGCCTGAAGTCCCTGGAGGGGGCTGGGAGGGTTATGTGAGAGCGGGGGTCGAACTTTTCTTTAAAACAGTTCTAAGACTTGCTGCCCAAGCATAATGATTTCTGAATCTAGCCCGTGGACTGCTGCCATTCTTGGTCATCTTTCCGTCCACCCAGTGAACGCTTGAAAGCCCTTGCTCTGCCCCCCAATTTCATGAATCAGAGCAGCTCGCTGGTGAGCGGAGAGCGGGGCATTTCAATCCAGGCCCAGTGAGTCCCCGAAGTCCCCGCCGTAACCACTACCCCACACTGCTCTATGCAAAGTTTGCACACGGACCCAGGCTGCGAAATTGAGGCCAGAGAGTTCCCTCCCTCCACCCCAAGCTTGGGGGCTGGTGTGGCCTCCTGACCCCCACCAGTCATAAAGTATTAGGAATAGAAGGGACCAGAGGGATGGCTTATCTGGTCCTGGCCTCTCATACTCAGAGATGTAAGTGGTCTTGTTCATTTCTGCCTGGCAAAAAACCTTCCTTAACAAAGTCAAAGAGAGGGGCCGAACTGAGGGAAATGATTTGAAATTGATATTAGAAAGGGCTCATTCCCCTCATATATGTAAAGCTCTTAAGAACCATTAAGAAAACGATAAAGAACCCAACAGAAAAATGAACAGTCTATGGACAGTACACAGAAAATGCAATGGCTCCTATAAGTATAGGAGGTGCTAGTCAACTATATTGTTGCAGCCATGTATGTAAAGCACAATCACAGTGAGATCATTTTTATCAATTACGTTAGCAAAGAATTTTCAAAGTTGAATAGCATGATTTTGGAGAGACTGTGGAAAAACAAATGTTCTCATCCTTTCCGAGTGGGAGATGTAACGGGTACAACCTCCATCCAGGCCATTTGTTAATATCCACAGAAATTCTAGATGCACATAGCCTTTAGCCCAGCAGTCCCACCTGCAGGAATTTATCCTTCAGCCAGACTCACTTGTATGAACTGGTATGTGTTTGAGGTTGACCTTTTTGGCTTGTGGGACTTTAGTTCCCTGACCAGGGACTGAACCTGCGCCCTCGCCAGTGAAAGCGCGGGGTCCTAACCACTAGACCGCCAGGGAAGTCTCCAGGTTGATTTTAAGTACCCATCAGCAGGGCACATCCTCAGGGAGTGGGGAGGGAGCCTGCGGAGTGTGGAGTGCTGCCGGGGCTCAT